ACTTGCCAGAGTTACAGTAAGTGGAGTAAAACTGGAGAAAGAGTACAACAGAGGTCATATCTTCCCATATCAACCTTTTCATCACAGCACTGCGCATGGCACCATTTACCTAATGCATCAGCATTTTCAGATGACCTCAGAAGGACAAGTAAGAGCTCTTGAACTGCACTCAGTCTCACTCAGCTGGCGCTCCTGCCGCCTCACAGCTCCTGAAGCTCTGAAACATCACGTTCTAGACTGCACTGAAAAACGCTGTGTGACATTGAGAGCAAGTACAAGGACATGCGCACTGACCGCTAATAGAGTAACAAGAGAGGAAAGGTCGACCAAGTTGTATTGTTCGTTAAATTACAGCGACACCTGATCAGAGAAACCCGACACGGATCAATAGTACTCTCTATTTCCGAGTAGGCCCTGTCACCTTGACTCACATTGGTCTATGATGCATTTTTAACCCTTTGCCTGTCCAATCCAAAAGTAGTAATAAGACAACTTGACGTTTCCCCAATAACAAGCAGCAGATGTAGATAAGAGACGAGACACCGCAACGCTCTCTCAATATACAGTATGAACCTCCACTACCTGAACAAGCAAAACCACTGGCACGGAACTATATAATAAACTAAAGTCAACTCATTTGTGTTTCTGAGCTCACACCAGCACAGAAATTGTTAAAAAGCTGGTAGATATTACAGTTACTATAACGCAATAACGAACCGTGTTGCCGGTTTACTCCTGAATGCAGCAAATCAAACAGGTGGTGAGAAACACGAGCCAACCGGCAAGCTCGCTCACGTTACCATTACCATGAACAGGCAGGTAGCAAGAACACTCACACCAACTGCCTCCGGTACGTCCAAGCAGCTCTCCTTTCTCCGAATTCCAGAAAAACTTCTTCCATCCGCCATCCCCTTTATCTGAAGGCATTTTTATTTATGTCCCGTTAGCCGTTCTTCCGCCGTGTGACAATCCGTCGCAGAGATATCCAACCCGGTCTGCTTTTACCTCCCCAATATAAAGCATTTCTCCTCAACTCCGCCCGAAACTCTCAACAATTTACCTAGTAGGAGGGCAGAGCAGCGACGGCCAGTTAGGGAGCGTAGAAGCCGTGCGTAACTCTGACGTCAGGTAGACGGACAGAAAGCCTATAGAGGCAGATATTTAGCGCTATACATCTTGGCTGAGCTTTGCAGTGTGTGCAGGCAGAAAGTTAGTCATTGTCCCCAGGTGTTGTGTAATTAATTCCTTAATTCCAGATTTTAACAGTCATCACAAATTGCCCACAATATGTCATATATAGCCTGTATGTATATAGATGTGCACATTTTTATACATAGGCCAACGTCCATATATACTCAAAAGTTATTTTAGGGCATTGTGAAAGACAATCACAAAGTAGCCATGAAGTGCAATGAGTATAAATGCAATACAAGTCTACTTATCAGTGTATCCATCTATCTAGCTATTCATAGCTGAATATGGGGCCCCATGAAAAACATAAGCCTCTGGGACCCTGAATTCTGACTTTAAACTCAGAAATATGATTTTTTTTTTTAATAGTCAGCTTTAAAGTCAGAATTCTGAAAAAAAGCCATAACTCAGGTAAATGTTTTACAGTGGCCCCAATCCTCTTCCGTACTCAGCAGCTCTCAAACTAAATATTTAACCAGCTCTGAGCCTTCGGATTCATTCAACATGATTGTTCAGGTGAAGTCACTATATGTCAGCAATTACAACAAGGGGCACACAGAATTCCAGATTATAGTGCACCAACCTGCAATTGTGAATGAAGCTGGTTTCTCTAAAACAGTTATTATGGCAAAAGTGATACAATGACTTCACCCCCTTCACTAACAGAATGGAGTTCATTTAGCTGCAGTCTGTGTAGCTCACACTATTTATCTGTTCCCACTTTAACTTAATGGGTGTCCTGTGTTGTTGTGTACAGTGGACCCTTCCTCACAGCCCCCCTTACACCACAGGGATAATAAACTCCAGTCTTACACAGCACTGCCAAGTATACATACAGTTGAGACCTGTCTTCAGCCTAGAATACCCCAAGGGCATTTCTGTGGCCAGTACTAGGGGCCACATGGTGACCCGATTTTTTATCCAAGCCTGAAATAAGAAGTTTTTGATTTGTGCTGTTATCTACAAAATGACTATGATGATTAATAATCCTGCATCACTATACACATGCATGCTGACTACAGACACGTGTAGATCTTTCAACTTCCCATTATTGTCTCTCTGTGTGAGATTACAATTATTAATCCAAGTAATGTGATGCCACTGTGTTGCCCGAATGCAATTTGACTTTGTTCTACTGTAGGTGGGCTAGTGTACTACGTGTACATGCAGGCAGCTACTACCCAAAACCCTAAACAAAGGATGGAGAATAAGGGAGAGAGATGTACTTTCACTAGCTACAAGTATTGTCATTATTTTGCATTTCTCTCAGTCAAAGATGTCATTATCATCCATTGTAAACTCTGTGTGGGCGGCAAAATGCTTTCAAGTGCAAAAATACTGTCTAATATTTAGGTGTAACTGCTCATTGAACTGGATAAAGAAGACATTGATCAGGATGTCATGTTTCTAGATCTCACAATAATCTCAGCAATGAGTAATTGAAGACTGGTGTTCATGGTGTTCAAGCATAGATGTATGAAATCACTCAGCAATGCATGTAGGCCTCTTGTGCTGTGTCCATTTGTTTGAGTGTAAACATGTTTTTGTAGGTGTGATTGGTCAAGATTACAGGCATGGGGGTTTTGACCTTTAAATATCACCTCAAGGGCAAGACAAGTCAAATCACTAATAATGCCTAGCTCTAAATAAATCCATTACAAAGAAAATACTTACTTGATTTTCTGCCCACAATTGTGTCTCATCTGTTCATGTGTCTTGAGGCTCCATTAACCCACTAACTAAACATAAAGCCAATGTTACATAATGGAAGAGAAGCAAAACTGCCCTTCACCCCCAAAAGAAATCGCAAAACCTGTGGCCATACTAGGAAGCTTCCAGGTGTGAACATGGACAGTGTGTGCCTGAAAAAGAGGGGTGGGCTATCCATCAGTTCATCTGTCCCATATCTATACCACTCATTCCTCAGGGTCTTGGGGGGGCTGACGCCAATCCCAGCTGACATTGGGCAAGAGGTGGGATACACCCTTGACAAGTTGCCAGTCTATCACAGGGCTGACAGTTAAGCCTAATTTCCATGGCTTGGTACCAGCTCAACTCAACTCGACTCTATTCACTTTTGGTACGGGGTACTTGGTTTTCCACTGCAGATGGTCCCCTCTCAGTGTAGCTGGTTGTTACAGTGACACTACATCATACTGCCATGATGTCGTCAGCAGCCAACACTGTAACAATGGAGGACATCGAAGGTATGCTGTTCTTGATTCTTGGTATGTGGCTGTTTTTAGTTAGTACAGTAACTACAGTAAGGTAGCAGTTAGCGTTAAATATTGTTGCTTTTAAAAATGACACTTTCTTTCCAGGATGTCTTGCACATCGATGAGGAAATTTCTCTGACGATTTGCTAGTCTGCAGTTTATCCATCATTGTTTGGTATTGCCTCTGCAAGCTTGGAACCTAAATGGAGGTGATACCAAAAATAGTACCAGGTACCAGCCCCAACATTTGACTGATGGAAAAACAAATAAGGCGAGTTGAGGCGGTGCCAGGCAGTGGAAAAGGGGCTTTAAAGACAGACAATCACACTCACTCCTAGAGGCAGTTTAGAGTCACCAGTCAACTTAAGCTGCATGTCTTTGGACTATGGGATGAAGCTGGAGTACCTGGAGCTGGAGAACCCACACAGGCACAGGGAGAACATGCAGTCTCACCGGGACAGCCAGGGCTCGACCCTGGAACCTTCTTGCTAACCACTGCTCAGTATATCACCCTAAGTATGATACAAAAAATGTAAAAATAAAAAAAAAAAAATTAAACTATTCTTAGATCATCATATGGAATTGGGAAAACTGTGTTCAAAAATGTTACTCTACAATACAGACATGTCCATTTCATGCAGTGATTGCTCAGGTGTGTGCAGGTGAGAAAGCAGAAATACTACTTTCATCACTTTTCATGTACACTACCAAATACAAAACCATGACTGTGTGTGCCAATTTAAACGTGTCATCACATCCGGCCCTGCACTATAAAGGCAAGCTTTTCCTTTGAGTGTGGCCATTTGGAACAGCTATAAACACTTTTACCATGAAACACAAACAGACAGTGAAAGTATCCACCTAGCAAGTATTGTGAGTGTTAGCCTCTTTTAGCTCTGTCTCACATAGTGACAGCAATAGTATTCCCTTCAAAATATATTTTACAAATACAGAAAGTGCAAAAGTATTTCATACTGACTGCAAATATACTGCTGAGTACAACTATCTGCTGCTCCAAACAAGAAACTAACTCCAAACAAACTAATTACTGAGAACCATGCTGCTACATTGTGCTTGTCCTGATTCAAAATTGTTTGCAATCTGCAGGACTATTGTGCTCATTTCCTGTGTTTACAGGATGGAGATCATGTGAAGGTAACCATCAGAGTGGAATCACAGAGGCACTGTTTGTGGAGTAGCTGGTGAAATAAAGCCTGCTATTATTCTAATGATACAACCTGACAGCGACCACACCTACACAACTGGTGCCTTTTGCCAGCTTGTGTACACAATAAATATGTGTGTGGTGCTAAAGGTGAGTGGGGGAGGTTGCACTCAAGGTGAAAGTGAGTCTTCCTGTTTGAGTTTTGCATAGGTTGCATGCTGCCATTTACACAAATGCAGATTTCTGTATCTGATGAACTCTCACCTACATTTTCACTCTGGCTTTTAGAAAATTTGTGATTGACATGGGTGATAATTCTTAACTGTAGCTATTCCATCAGCAACATCCTGTTTTAAGAACACAATGATTAGTCTCACCTCAGTGGAATACTGTACTTATTTCTTGGAAGCAACTGGAAATTGGCTGTAAAAGTTAAAGGACGATAATGATGTTGTTGCTTGTTTTAGCCCATTTATTACAATTCATGTGGTTACCAAAAGAGATTCAAGGAAATGTGCTTGTTTACAATGAGTCAACTGTGTTGTAAAGTCATACTGTGTATTCACAACCACACTGGCCTATGCCGGTGCAATGTCCCTGCAAATATTGTAACTGCATGGGGCACTTATTTCTTTCTTGTAGCTGGAATTCAAAGAATTTCATTTTAACACAAGACCACTCATAGAGCGCTTGTACCTCCATCAATGCACAGCATTCACTAATGCAAATGGGCTCCTTGTGAAAAATGAGATGCTGAACAGCACAAAATGTGTCCTAAAATCTTGGGTATGATAAGCAGTTATAGTGTGCATCTTACCTTAACATTTCAGGGTTCTATCATTATTATAGGGCTAGTTATGGCAAAAAATATGCATTAAATGGGATTTTCTATGTTAACTTTAAATGGCTGTCAGAGCCGAAATCTGGATCCAATCCAGATGAAATTTGGTCTGGTGACTGACATTGCCACCCTTCATATTTGTGTCAAATTTCAAACAAAAACAGATTTTGATAACCCTTGATGGAGATACAATTTTTTAAAAATTTTGCCCCATGTTGAAGGTAGGGATTTTTTTTTAGTTTTTGTGATTTTTTTTTCAATATTTTTTGTGACTTCACCTGTGACCCTTTTCAGCCAAACTCTAATTACGTCTAGGGTCGGTCCCTATCAGTGTCTGTACCAAGTATGCAATGATCCATCCAGCTGTTTGCCTGTAATCCTGCTAGCCAACAAACTGTTACGGTTAGCCATCAGGAATAACAACTGAGGACCCAGTAAATGCAGGACTTGGACACAGACTCAAGATCAAATGCTTTTTAATCAGTAGGGGTAACAGAAAGTATAAGATGTTGTGTGGACATTTCAGCTGGCCACAGGTGATTGGGAGCTGTGTTGACTGGACTGCTAGATGAGCAACCCGGGGTAGACAGCGAGTAGAGGCAACCACTGAATAGGAAGGACTGAGCAGATCAGCAGTGACTCTTTATATGGGCAATAATGATGAGAACCTGGGTATGAGGAATGACTGTTGTGCAGGG